GCTCAGATCAGGCTGACACACACACACACACACACACACTCACACACACACACACACACACACACACACACACAGTCATAACACATTGTTCCTTATTCTAATCCTGACTCCAAACTGAGTGTTCCTCCTCAGAATCTTCAGTTCTCAGTGAAGTTCCTCTGGTTCTCAGTAGGAACACAGACGCCGCCTGTTGTTGTCGTTGTCGTTGTTGTAACTGACTGTTGTTACTGTTTAGTACCGTTTCTCTGTCAGTGTCGTTGTCGGTTGTTGGAGTCAGTGACTGTGTTTGGTGTTTCTGACAGGGGGCGCTGCAGCGTGTGACTGTCAGAGCTGGTCTGTTCTGTTTCTAGCAGTGCGTGTTGACACCTGAGTCGTATCACCGTACAGGAACAACGATACGATATATATAGAAATGTACCGCGATACTTTAGTCAAGACGATATATTGGTTTTTCTTTTTACACAATTTTATTTATTTTTATTGTATCAATATTTTCTTACAGCCCTGTAAAAATCGTGTCCAGAGATCCACCCTCCGTCTACGCTGCGATGGACCTATGGAATTTGTTTAAAACTTTATCTTTTTCTGCAGCATCAATCTATCGCCCCCTATCTGCGCTGCTGTCCTCACGCCTCATTTTTTCATAATGTTTATCTTGGAAATGACTGCGTTCATTAAGAAGTTAATATTCCAGCGCGTACTATCTGTGATTGCAGTACTACATGAGTACAGAGAAGTTCTCCTGCCTGTTATCGAGAAAGAGTTCCAGTTTGAAAATCTTCGTTTCTTTACATTTTCCCTCCGTCTTTGCAGCAGTGTGGAGAAATGTAGCTGAGAGCTGCAGCTCAGTAATTCAGATTTTAGAGAGGGGGGAGGAGGGGTGAGAGAGGGAGGAGGGGGAGGAGAAAAAAAATGACTTGATGAAATTCCGCTATCAGCTCCGAACCAATATGCAAAATATCTCTGTGGAAATCAAATAGCTATTATGTTTTCATTTCCACGTCGGCATATTTGCTTAATGAAGAGGAGACAGATCAGACCGGCACAGAGAGTCTGCAGGAGACGATAACCGCCGCCGCCGCTGCTGCTGGTGCCCCTAACGGGCCCGCGGGCAAACCGCCCCGGCGCCGGCTGCTGCTGCTGCTGCTGCTGCTGCAGTCAGAGGACGGACACAGAAACAGAGGGAAAAAAAGCTGGAGGTGTCAGCAGTGTCAGAGCGGAGGATAAGAGAGGATGAAGAAGCAGAGATAATGACAGGAAGGGGGGAGGAGGGGGGGAGGAGGTGAGAGGAAAAAGGTGGGAAATAAGAGATGAAAGGAAGGAGGCGAGAAATAAAACAACAATTTTTCACAGTGAGGCGTTCACAGACCTGGAAATGTAGGTATTCTTAGGATATCTTCCAAACAAAGTTGTACTTGAATCTGTACTGTAGTAATAACAACAACAACAACAATAATAATAATAATACTATTAATATTATTATTATTGTTACAGGTTCATTATTTATACAAATACTACTAATAATGGAGTCAACTTTATTTGTGTTTGTAGTTTTGACATGAGAATTAAAGTTAAAATATCTCACTGTGCCCAAAAAACAGGAAGTGATGTGGTTGTAGTGAGAAAATAGCAACAATACAAAGTAGATCAGTGTGTGTTTACGATAAATGAGATCATCCTGTTATTGTGAACCACTCACAAAAATACGGTAGTGTCGTCTGCGTAGTGATGTACTGCACATTTAGCTCAGTGACACTGCTGCTGCTGCTGGTCCACTGCTGCCTCCTTTGGTCAGTTTGTGTCACTGTGGTAAATCTAAACAAATGATTGTTAACAGTCACAAATAGAACACGAGGGATGGGGCAGTAGTGATGGGGTCAGTAATGATGGGGGCAGTAATGATGGGGGCAAATTTTATTTTTCCTGCTTCTTTTTTCTCATAGAACACGAAGGGCAGTAGTGATGGGGGCAACAGTGATGGGGCAGATTTTATTTTTCCTGCTTCTTTTTTCTCCACGTCGTCATCACTGCTGGATTTCAGGTCAATACGTCTCGGAGGTTCCTGATTGGTGGAGGAATGGAGAGAAAAAATCAATAGATTAGATCTGAGTAGAAAATCTATATTTTATTTATTTTGCTGTTTACGGCTGTGGTTCTGTGGGCTGTGGTGGACCGGCTGATCTGAGGACAGTGAAGCTGGACGGGCTAATGAGGGGGTGTACGGCTCAACCACACGTAAAGAAACGAGAGCTAAAAAGCAGGAAAGTCCGTTGAACTACTCACTAAGACATGACGGTATCATCGGCGTAGAGATTTACCGGGCGTAGAAAATAATCAGGAATTTTAAGCTCTGGGACACAGAAGCTGCCGGTCCAACGGCGCCTCCTGTGTCACCGAGGTAAATCTGACAAAAACATATATAATTAATGAAGTAAGACAAGAACATCTGGACTCGATGATCGGTAAAAAAAATTTCATTTCTGTTAATTGTCTGAACTTGTGTGAAATATTTGACGCTCTGACCTGTGAGGAACAGGTGGTATCGTCTGGAACTGAGTTTGTCCTTCGGTCTCAGATTAAACTCCACATGTGAACTTTTAATTGCAGAGTTCCTGTGGTTCCGTTGATTTGTTCCTCCCCGGCTGAGTGTCCTTCGGTCTCTGATTAAACTCCACATGTGAACTTTTAATTTTCCTCAATTTCATGACAGCAGTTCAGATATCAAACAGTCACAATTAACTTTGAAAAAGGAGGAAATGAAGCAGAAAGTTCTGGACTGTCATGGCTCAGGCCCGACGATCCCTTCACATCAGTACCAGGATGGAGAAGAAGACTTTTGATTTGATTTTTAAAATAACAATTTGACAACAACAAATTCATTTAGGAACTGTGTCAGGTAGATCCACATTTTTGCTTCTCTAATTAAAAAGTTCAGGAGGTGACATTTTGTTTTTTCTGTTTTGTTTTTTTTTAAACAACTCCACAGATAAAAAATGAGGCCAGTAAAAGAGAAGACGAAGGAGAAGAGAAATAAAAAAGTTCAGTCTTTAAAAAAGTTTTTTTCTCTTTTCTTTCCGACGTCTGAGAGCAGATTGATTCGTTAACTGCGGTGCAGTAATAAGGAGAGAAATCCTAATTTAAACTTTGACTTTAAACAGGGAATATAATTGGAATTTTACAGCCAAAAGTCTCTTTTGTACAATTATGATTAAAGGAAAATTAATTGTATGAAAATGTCCTGACAGATAGTGGAAAAAAATGAGATCAGAACTAATTCTAAAAATACTGCTGGAGCATCGATCTTTTTTCTTCTTCTTCTTCTTCTTCGTGAAGGTCCAGATGTGTGTGTGTGTGTGTGTGTGAATTTTTATCTGAAATTAGAAGGAAGTGTGCAGACGAGGAAGTGGAAATTAGCCTAAAGATGTTTCATTTACAAAGACAGAAAGACTTTCTCACTGGGACGATTGTGTCCCCCCCCCCCTCCATTATCTCTCTCTCGGCCTTTAATTGCTTCTGCAGCAGTGAAATTAACAGAATTAGAAAAATTGCCGCAGCCGTTGGTGGACGAGCCTCTTTATTCACGCCCATTGTTGTGGCTGAAAGACGGCCTTTTGTTCCCGCCGTGTAAATATATACGCCCCCAGCCGTGGCTTTAGCTGCGAAACAATCATCCCACCAGCATCCACCCCCCCCCCAGCCCACTCGTACTTCCCCCTCCACCACCCTGTGGTTTCAACCAGACCTGGTGAAAAATTAATTTACGATCTGAGTGACGATGAATCCAGGAAGAACATCGGCATCTGACGTTCAACCGCCGGCGCATCGGAACAAACGTCCATCCTCCTCTTCTTTGATTTCTTCTTCTTCTGTTTTTTTTTTCCATCCCTTCCACAGATTTAAATTTGTCAAAACATGTTTAAGAGAATATCATCATCAGCGTAACATCGTCATCAGATTTTACTGTGATCACTGTTTGACTTAAAAACCAATGAAATGTGATGGATTTCCCTCGGATTTGAACCAATCAGACGAAATATTTCAATCAGAGCCAAAGAAAAGAGTGACATTTGATTGTGAAATGTGATAGAATTGGAACACATATATAGCAGTGTGCTAATGCACCATTAAAGTGAAGGGGGTTTTTATTAATGAAGTAATTATAAAAAGTCCATTATCACATTAAATTCACATGAAGTGAGTGATTGTGAGTGGATTTAATCTTCACACAGGCTGCGGCAGATGAAAGGTGTGGAATAATTACTGTGGTCAGCAGGGATTAAAAAAGTGTCAATGATACGGATCAGACCGTACTAATCGCTCCCTCAGCCGCACTTCTACAACCAAACTGTCATCTGGTTTTAAGCACGCTCTCGGCTGCCGGCGCCTAATCTGCAGCGTGGACAAAAATAACTTCACTTGACTTAGAAACGGCAGAAAAATGACAGATACGGAGAACGGTTCCTGCTCCGGTCTGTTTGGACTGGAAGGAAGGAAATTAATAATTATCTTATAAAAAATAATACTTATTATAAAAAAATGAAAAAAAAAGAATCAGGAGATAATTCTGGTTTAGACCTGAGGTGGGATTTTTTTTTCCTCTCCTAAAAGTTTGTCCTCCTGGGTCTGAGACATGTTTCCACTCAACAGCAGGAGTGGCAGGATTAGCAGATACCTGTGAGCTCTGTGGATCGCAGTCGGAGAACGTTCCATCGGCGCCCCACGGTGGTTCCACTCCTGTGTTCTTCAAAGATCCGCTGTAGGCACCGAACTGCCCATCAGAGTTTTTTTTTGTTGTTAAATTTATAAATGTATCTCAGGAAGGCACTGTTTCAGTCCTGATTGGACATCGGTACCGACACCCGGGTCCACGCTTGGTCCGCGCCCCTATGGTTAAGAATCGCTGCTCTAGATCTTTACAATAAACTGGACCTTAAATAATTTGAACACAGTTATAACATTATTTTTCCTCCTAAAATAACATTCCCCTTTTCCACCTGTAGGGGCCCTCGGAGAGCTGGATGGTGGCGAGGACAGCACGCTGGACAGCCACAGCCTGTCAGGGGAAGAGGGCGGAGTCTCAGACCCCGACGGTTCAATAGAGGGCGACAACAGCTGCTCTAGTCCGCCCCCCCCACCATACAGTGAAGGTAAACGACGTTGATGACGTTCAGGAACTGTTGCCGTTTTATTAGCACGTGGTCCGTTTTAACCTTTGACCTCGGGTTGACTGGAGTCCCCTGGTACCGATGATCCTGGACAGTTTGTTGACGTCACCGATTATTATGGAAATAACTAGGGCTGTATATTGGTAAGAACTGTCGATACGATACGTATCACGATACGGAGGCAATGATACGATGTATCGCGATACTTTAGGCACAACCATATGTTGAGTTTGATTTTAACAATTTAATTGTTCAATAATGTTTTGATATTTTCTTACCGCCACCACAAAAAAAACAAAACAAAAAAAACCCAAAAACCTCCCAGGTTATTTTTGAAGTTCTCTCTCAGGTCCTTCTGAACACTTTCATATTTTGTTTTGATCGGTTTATTGACGTCACCATGAAAAGTTAGTGAATAATCGTGATGAACCGTTGTTTTTTTATCAGTTGACAGAGTCAGATGAAGAACAGAGCTGACCTCAGACCAGTTTAGAAAGGAAACAGAGGGAGGCGCTCACGTGTGCAGTCTGTCTGACTCCTCATCTTTTTCTTATCCAATCTAATACACACATAACCCACTGCTCACCTCACACACACACACACACACACACACACACACACACGCCCACCTAGAGCAGCTAATCTCTAATCTGGTCTCGATTAGCAGCTGACAGAATTTCCATGAGTTTATCAAAGCGAGCGAGCCAACCAGCAGACGCTTATCAGCTGCAGCCCCGAAGTTTCACAAGAGCAGGAATTTCTTCAGATTAAAACACACACACACACACACACACGAGGAGGGAGTCGAATCTTGAATAAATCAAAAGAATAAGATGGGAACCTCACAGTGGAGAGGGTGAGGGTGAGGGTGAGGGTGAGGGTGAGGGTGAGGCTGAGGGTGAGGGTGAGGGTGAGAGGTGGATAAGAGGATTCAGATGGAACAAAAAGTCTTTTTTTTATTATTGTCTTTCTCTTATTTGTTTCGACACAGTAGAGATGAGGCAGTGACAGAAATGTTAATCTGCAGACAGGTCCTGGTCCGGGTCCTGGTCCTGGTCCTGGTCCTGGACCTGGACCTGGTCCTGGACCGGGTTCAGAACTTCTTCCTCTGTTCTGTCCCTCGAACCAAAAGAAACAGATGACAGTCTGAGGTCAGACCACCACCAACAGATGTGGTCTGAGACCGGACCTGTCCCCCTCCCCCCCCCCCCTCTCCATTATCACTCCTCTGTAAATCAGCCGTGTTTGACAAACCTGCTCCTTCCCCCTGGATCAATACCACAGCTCTTTATCACTGAACTGACTAATAAAGGCCGGTCCTCTTATCCACCATCTGGAAGACACACACACACACACACACACACACACACACACACACAGGCGATAACCGCCCTGATAACTTAAGCAAGAAAAACACAGCTCTGAGTTCTCTGTCTGTCTCCCTCACCCCCTCCTCACCCCCTCCTCACCCCCTCCTCACCCGTGGCCCTGAACAGAGAATCAGTGTGTTAATGCATAACACACTGATTCTCTCTCTCTCTCTCTCCCTCTCTCTCTTTTCTCAGAATCTTTCTACAGTTGCAGCGTCTCAACAAAAACAACTCAGTTCCCTTTTTGGTCATGACACACACACACACACACACACACACACAGAGAGTTGAGTGAGTGAGGGCATGACCCCTCTCTCTCTCTCTCCCTCCCTCTCTCTCTCAGTACCAGTTCTGACTCTGGTCTTGGTCCAGTCTGGTCTCTGTCTGTAAAAGTCTTGGTCTGGTCCTCCCCCTCCTCCCCCCCT